GGGGGGGGGGGGGGGGGGGGGGGGGGGGGGGGGGGGGGGGGGGGGGGGGGGGCGTGGATTCCTGTTGGGGGCGTGACGGACGGTGTCGAGATGGGGTGGCTCGTGAATAGACTACTCAGGATGCATGCCTGGACTGCCGGCAACAACAACGCTTCATACCACGCGCCGCTATATCGCACTACCCAATCAAGTTAGACTGGCATCGTTGGCGAGGCGTAAGAGGATTGCTGGATGGAACCTGATCGCGAACAAAATCAAAGGCATGCACTGCGAGGGACTCGAGAAGAAGATGGCTTTGGTGTGGGCCATGACTCTAACAATCAATTGATTTAAAGAGAGAGGTGTTGCTGTAATGTAGATATCAGATCGGTTGGGCCCAAAAAACATAAGAGAAACCGGGGCCACTTTTGAGCAACACAACAAAAACAAAGCGGCGCGGCTTCTGTCCCACGTTGTCCCTATCGGTCTTACATTCCAGTCAGAGGGAAGCATCATACTACACACACATCTGACGCTCCCTCAGAGTAAAGCACGCGACTCACAGCCGTCATGATGACAACACCCTTCTCCCCTAAGATAGGGCCAGGTAGAGTCATCATCTGAGTTACCAGCTCTCGAGCTAGCATGCTCGCCACTTTCAAGACCTTTCGCACAACGCACCAGACAACGAGGAGCACACGCATGACAGCCACCTGCAAATGGGAACGCGAACACGGCGAGTATGTCAATAAAAACCAGCCTTCATTTTAAGCTCACCGACCCATCCGGCTCGAGCGATCCGGACGCAAGTGTGCGCTAGTCGACCAAAGATCAAGGACTCCCAATCTACCACAAGGGGTCGGCTTGAACATTCTCTCGTGAGCCACGTCACACGTAACCCCGATTCCTCGGCCCAAGGGCACAACGGAACCATCTCCCGAACAACCTCCACCTCTTCACGGCCTGACCAAATCTTAAGTCCAAGGTCGTGGAAAGCGCTAGTTCGTGTGTACACAGAGGGAAGACAGTGTTGCACTCTTCTAGCATAAAACATCGAAAGCAAAACACCGCAGGAGGGGGGGGGGGATGGGAATGAGGTCTCAGGGAGAGGCACTGTTCTGTGTGGCAACGGGTCGGAGCAAACGGCACGAACGCTGTGAGCACTGACTTGAAGTGAACACACAAAAAATCAATGGCCCTCGACCAACCCTGGATAGAGAAATTGACGTATTCGACCAAACACAGTGTCGTCTCCGCGCACGGTGTTGTACGGTACACGGCGTATTGAGGGCAACCATCCTTCGAAGCAGTGTAGTTCGACGAAGACACGAAGACACACGTTTTGACGCACGTGCCCCACTCGAGCAGAGGGGAAAGTGAGAAAGTTGCAACAACAATATAGCCGCACCACGATCCACACACCACTGTACTTTAGTCGGCATACCTCAACCATCCCATCATCACACTGGTGCTACTTAGCGCGGGCTGCTGCTGTACAGCGAACGGGAGTCTGTTCCATCACGCCTCGCTTCACGAACGCCAACGTCTGACGGCGGGCGGGCATCCCCCGAGAGGGCCACTCACCACTGCCTGGCCAACGCGCGACCGGTAGTATTCGTAAAGCCAGTCTTCGTGGGCTGAGAGTTGGCAAGCAAGCATAACGAGGTACCCGCAGAGGACGATAATCCTGATGATTGCGGGAGAGAGAAAAGACAACAGGCACACGCGGAACAGAGGTGACCCTGCTGTGCGAAAGGGGCGCCACGCCGCTTGGTGAGCGTTGCTGCTTCCGCCGCAAAAATGTGATGAATCGTTTTCGGGTGTGAACGCCCAATATACCGCACTGACTACTGCCACGGCTGCGGCGACGTGGCCGGGACACCACGGGGTATGCTACAACGACGCGTTCCTCCTTTGACCGATCGCAGCTAGCGGTGGGCAATTTACTTCATCCATCACTGCCGTGTCCGTGCACTCGCTCACTCCACGAACAATACGCAAGACGCACGACCTCTCCCTCTTTATCCTTGACGCACGCCATCTATTGGCGGAAGCGAGAAAACGCCGAGGAATGCACGCACGAAACGCCAAGACCCACCGCAGGAGACCCGAAAGCTGCTGCACGGTGAAGGGCACGACCCAGAACACAAAGAGAAGGCGGTGCAGAAACAGGAATATCCGGAGATCTTCCAAGCCCCAGACGTGCTGCGACAAGAGCAAATGTAAGCACGCGTTAGTCTGGGACGTAGTGGTCGGATGGCAGAGGGCTTGGGGCGTGGCACCAGAGCGTATGTGGCGGAGAGGATAACACAGGCGAGCATGGAAAGTACTTGCTCAACACGCCGCCTTTGTTTCGGATGGTCAGCAAGCTATCCTCGCGAAGCGGGGCTAAACTCAAAAGGCAATGAGCTTTATCTCCTTGCAAGGTCGATTTGGGGGTTGGTCACACACACAGGGAGAAAAATCCAAGCACTTGTAGATACGAATCTACGCTGGGAACAACTGGCGCGTGAGCAAACCCGTCTTACTTCCTTTGGATGCGGAAAACCCTCCACCCAGCCCTGGTCTCACGTGCGAGATGGTGTGAAATTCAGGGTCCATATGCCAAGCCTTGAAGCGATCGATGTCGCCAGGTGCCTGCCCCTCCAGCAACGTTAGCATGCCCTCCGCGGTAGCAGGCACGAAGAGCGTAGACCTGGCCGTGCCGTGCTTGGTGTGGGACTCAGGGACGCCTTTCAGTCTAGGCGGGGAGGGCGGCGGCGACTTGTCCAAGTCTTCCGCGAACTGCGATGCGAAAAACTCGGAGAGCTGCGTTGTCAAGACGGAAGCGCAAACAAAACCGGTTCCGAGCGTTCGATGTCAGGGTCGGGTTGGATACGGCCTCCCATCCCGCCCGATGGTCGCACCTTTGCGTAACGATTATATATATCCGCATGTCGCCGCCGACCAGACTTTGCACTGTCACCCCAGTTCATAACACAAACCGATGCGTCGGTCGGTCCGTAGGCGGCGGCCAAGTCCCCGACGGTCGGGGAACCGTAGCGATCGGCTTGGGTTAGCAGGGCAAGGGCCCAAGCGCGTGCTCCGCAAGTGCTCTGCATACCTCCCTGAAAGCTGCACCCCAGAAGAGAAAACAAGCCTTCCACGAACACCAGCAAGGTAAACACACTGCCCGTTGTTCTTGTACTTGATGACCACAGGCGGCTCGGACTCACGCGCAACAACAAGAAAACACCGAAAGAAGAAAAAACACTATCCGCGAGACGTTGACGCGCACCTCAGACACAACCTCCCAGACCTCCTCGACCCCGACCACGGTCTTCCCGACGACAACGAACTCGGCCCCCGCAAAAGCTACGGCGCCCGGAACCGCTCCCTTCTCCCTCCGGCGGAGGATCACGGGCCCGGCCATGGACGGGTTGATGTGCATCAGTCGCGGAAACGCATCGGGCGAGCTTCTGTACGGCAGCGGTGGGAGATCGAGGAGGCAGCGGCGAGAAAAGGAGATAGGGGTGTGCGTGGGACTGGGCGAGACGAAGTTGGACTCACGCACATCATGCCGCCGAGAATCGTGTGAGATCCTCAAAAAGAGCGGCAATGAATGCCTGCGGGCGACACCGTTGGCGTTTGCACTTGCCACACAAATTCTCAAACCAGAAAAAAGCGGCAAGGGCTACTTCCACTCAACAACGGACGGTGGGAAAACCGTACGGTGATTCAACTCAAGCACAAGACAACTTGGAAACCGGACAGACCGCAGGCTTGATGCTGCGGTTTAATACTTGCCTGCTCTCTCGACCGGTCAGCAAGTGCTTGAGCGCCGGGTGATCATAGAGGCAGTTACACCCGAGGCGGTAGGGAATGAGCCGGCTATCCCTGAGGTGCTGGAGCATCCCCAAGCCCTTGACGCCCTTCACCACGCCGCTTCCTTTCCGCCCTCGCCACATCCATCCACTGATAGGAGACATCTGTACGTGCAGTCGGCGGGCCACGGTTAGGGGAAGAGAGACCCTTGCTGCAGCTGCAAAATTAAAGAGAAGAAGCCGACCGTAGTAGGTAAACTCCATGTGCTGGTGTGATGGTGCAATTCAGCCCTACTACAACAGATGCCATAGGGTGAGAGCCGTAAAAACAACATGTGCACTCTTAACTACAACACTATCTAGTAGCGGCAGGCGATGCGGCTGCTGCGAACACGCCAGGCTTCTAACGACATGTTTGACGGGCAAGACAAGGACTACCAAATTCAATGTGCGACGCGTGTTGAAAGAAATGCGGTCAACATGCGCAGCGTACCTCGTGTTCCCCGGATGTAAAGGCGTCCACTTGCGCCTCTTGCATGACAACAAGAGGTTTCAGGCTTGGCGTGAACAACGCTGCTTGGTTCAAAACCCTGGCGAAATCCTCGTGATCAAATGCCTACAATTTGGGCGAGATGCTTGGGTTAAACATCGAGCATGTACAAGTAGTATGGTTCGATGGTTCCAGAGGTATATGAACGACGAATATCCCATGAGCATGTGTGAAAAGTGCAATATAAAAAAAGAACGCGGCAGGCTTGCTGCACGCGCACGGACTCGTCTGGATCATCCGTACGCATTCATTCTACCCGGCTGTCTGCCGTTTGTCATCGAGGACCACTGGGTCGAAATTAGAGGGTACAGCAGTGCCTCAAAACCTTTGGGTGATTCAGGTCGTGGCATGAAATCCCGACAAGACATTCGCTGCGACCCCTCCTGAGACATCAAGTGAAATGCCCGGTATCTGCAAATCCTGCGCTGGAAATTTCTAGGGATGTTCACGGTGCGGTTGAACCGCACCGCACCGTCATGTTTCGAGATGAAAAAAAAACGCACCGCACCGGACCGTCAAATATCGAGATGCACAAAAACACACCACACCGCACCGTCACATTTCGAAATTGAAAAAACCGCACCGCACCGCACCGCACCGTAAGGATTCACAGATAACCGTAGTTGCGGTTTCATCACGGTGCGGTTTTTCCTACCCCGTAACCCAAACCGCAGTGAACCGCAGTAAAAACGCACCAAAGGCAACGTTTTGTCGTGCAGACACACACCAGGAACATCGAACATTCATTTCAAACCAGCACGCACGCAACACCGTGTCCCCACATCACACGCACACACCGCCATCTGGTTGTAGCCAGTGGCGAGCGTGAGCCGCCTGGTGGTGCTGCCATTTTTTTTTCCATTTTTTTTGGCATAATCCAACAACAGTAGTAGAAGCAGGTGAGGAATGTAGCTGCTGTTGATGCGTGTTGTAGGAACGTATGGTGACTGGAACAATGAAGTAAATGATCGGTACAATAGCTTCTTTGTTGTCTGACTGCAAGCCGCGGGATTTGTCGTGGGGGCCTCATTTCGATGGGCTAAATATATATAACGTATTCCACAACAATAATAAATCGCGGAGACCCCGTCATTTTATCACGGGCAACCGTAGCATAGTCCGCGGTGTTCTTCGACGGTGCACCGTCGCCAAGGCCGCGGTTCGCCCGCTTTTTATTACGGGGTAGAAAAACCGCACCGTAAAATACAACCGTGCGACGGTGAACCGCACCGCACCGCATTGTGACCAAGTCAAGAAACAAGACCGCACCGCGGTGCGGTTCCACACCGTGAACATCCCTTAAAGTTTCGGCACGAATTTTGATACGCGATTTCGGGGGGCCCAGGCACTCCTTGTGTTGGTGCGTGCTCAGCATTGCGCATATGCTTTCGGGTATTGTATGCATATGCATAGATCTCCCTTGATGATAGGCAGTTTGGTTGACCGCAGCCTTCGAAGCTAGCCCAGAGGGATGACGAAAAACGTGAAAACGTTCCACGAACACGGATGGGCGCATGGCTATGCTCTATGCTCCGTCGACAGCTGCAGATTCTTGCTGGAACTTGGTCTGTGCTGGAAATTGTTTGCCGATCACTCGTCGATGGCTGTGAGACTAACGCTCTGGTACGCACTTTGCCCACCGACGCGAAATCGAGCAAAGGTAGATTATGCGCAGTATCTAATCGTGCTCAAGAGTTCAGCTAAATCCTAGTCTCAAGATGGGCCAAGTGTTCCAACCCCAGTTGCTTGGATGAGGGTCCAGTGTTGCCCTCTGGGCCACTACCTGTTCTACGATACCACAGCAGTGAAAAACTCCATATTTGCAAGTGCAAAACGAATAGGTACACGCAATAAGTAGGGGAGAAACTGCTGCCTTGTCGCTTGGCCGAATGGCAATACAGATGAGGCAACGTGGCGCAAAAAAAGAAAAAAATTGTTTCGACTCGCGGCTGGGTGTGAAACAGAATCTGCTGAGTTTGCTTATGTACCGAAAGTCTAAACTGCTGAACACAGGGCGAATTCAGCACGCTCAATAAAAGCTGTGGCTGACGACCTCCACATCTCGTTTCAACCCCCGCGACCGTTTAGCCACAACGATTGTAAAATGCCCAACGAAAAATTGAACAACACATCATGACCGACCGCGCCCTGAATCAAATCGCCTGCTTGCAAAGGAAAGGAAAGGAAACGAGGGTGGTTGAGCCCTCACGCAACCTCAGCGGGACGCCTCAGCACTCCTCGGCATGCATGCACAGCAGTATAAGAGATATGCAAGCGCGCGACCTTTCGTATACCGAGAGACTTGAAGAGAGAATCGAGGTCCGCCGAACAAGTTTGCGCAGGAAACGGAAATCCGTGTGTAACTAGGATTGGGTGCGAGTCCGACAAGAGACAAGATCAACAAAGTCGGATGATGGCTTTATTTGCACATGCCATATGCCACGCCATGCCTACACGCATGCAAGCGTAAGAGATGTCGTTGGGGTCGCTACAACAGGACTAGATCTACAGCAGTAGTTCACATTTTTTGCAATTTGTTGGCAAGTTTTTGAAAAGGTCGTCGTGTGGACTCTTTTGTCGTCAGAAAGCAGCAGCAGGGACATCAAGCTGCTGTTCTCACAAAAGAGGGGGCAACGGATGGTCGGGTGAGAGGCGAGAGCCGAAGAGATCACGTTATTGCAAGGCATGGACTGCGCCCACGCGGTCGTTCCCAGGCATTGGCACCGCCAGGACTTGCCTAATTGCACACGCAAGGAGCATAGATTAATGCCATTTTTTTTTTCCCGATCATTGGACTCTGTCGTCTGCCCCTCTGGCCCCTATCCTCCACTTCTACTAGCTAGACGACCCAACCGGGGTCACATAGGAGGGGGGGGCTGGACCCCCTCCTGCGGTTCCTGCCTGAGGTGTTTTTATCGCGAGAAGGGTACAGCAATCCCTTCCCTCGCGACTTACGATGTCGATTATGGTTTACTAACAACGAGCTTTGCAGCGCGTCGCTTTCATCCTAGACGAGGATTTATTTAGTTAGAAAAAAACTCACTCTGCCGGGACTCGAGCCCATGGCCATTGTGGCATGTTGGTCATGTCGTCGAAAAGCCCAAAAAACACAATGTTGATGTTGTTGTTCTTGTTTCTCACATTAGCTCTATAGTCCACAAAAAACGGGCAGCCCCTGGTCTCAAAACCCGGCACATACGACGCCGCGGGGAAACAAAACAAAATAGGGGACAAACCGCTCGGAAAAAGAAAACATTCCTCCTGTCGTGCCAAACATAAATGATGTATTATGCACGAAATGATCAACTCTTCTTTACATATGGTCTGTGCTGCCCACTGAGGGGAGAGATATAACCATACTCCCTGCCTACACACGGGCGAGAGAGATGACCAACCCATTACATTTGAACACACGAACACCCACATATCGGTGATGGAACCTCAACCACACGCCTTACCTACGACCGACCACGTCAGGAGGCAATGATGAAAGAATGTTCTCCCGTGCCCTTCGCACATTTATGGGCATGAAATTACACAAAACTGGGAGACCACTCCCGTGTGCCGCACAATTTGACACAGATGCATGCATATGCATACCAAACTCAATTACTTACCAAATCATATTCCTCGCGTTAAATGCATACCAAACTGGAAATACACGTGTAAAATGGATGGAGATCCACAACCAACAGGGTGCCACACATAAAACACCCGACTAACTAACAGCCCAACACTTTTCGTCTACACCTTCCCAACATAACATATATAAGACACACAACACAGCTACCAAACTGTCTTGTTGAGCCTGTTATCCGCAGGGGAGATGTCCATATATGCTGTCTGGGAAATCGTGGACACACAACAGGTAGTTTTCTTTGACGCTATGATTCCATTGCTAATCTGTCTTTGACTCTTTTCTCTGACGGAGATGGACTCGTTGTGTTGTATTTGGAAAAAAAAAAAAAAAAACAAAATGATAGAAAGAAAGGAACAGGTATCGCACCGACCGTTCGAGAGAAGAGCCCTCGGAAACCGATCAAAATAAAACAAAAAAATAAATAAAGGAGGACGCTTCCCACGCCCGCCCAAAGAAAATATCAAAGGGTAACGTACCAGCACAAGGCACTACGCACCAGGGCATGGGAGTAACGGAGAAAACAGGACAAAGAGGCGGCAGATGGGCAAACAGCCAGACGTACAAAAACAAAGGCAACAGCAAAGCGAGATCACGGTACCCAACACAGCAGAGTAGGAAGGGAGGTCATGAAAAAAAGAAACACAGAAACACAGCACAGAGGCCGAAGGCAATACAAAGGACATACATAAAGGAGGATAGCATACAGCAGGGAGGGAAACAGAGCGCAACAGCATCAGCCGGGTACATGTGACCCCGGTTGGGTCGTCTAGCCAGTAGAAGTGGAGGATAGGGGCCAGAGGGGCAGACGTTATAGTTCGCCACAAGATGTGGTTGACCATGTCATGTGTCTCGTCCCACCTGGAGTCCATTTTGGGTCTGCTTCATCCGAGCAAGGCAAAATTCAACAGCCTCGTGCTCAGCCTCTTGCCGGTTGCTGCTTAGATTCAGGTCAGGACTTTGAGGGTATCTCCGTGGCGGTTCCGGCGCCTCCGATGTTTCCTCGGCAAGCACCTCCTCGACATGCTCGACGACATCATCCTTGTTGTTGTTCACCAGGGGCGGCATCTGCTGTTGTTGTTGGTTGCTGTTGTCGCAATCCCTGCCGCTGTCGATTACAGGAGGCACCCTCCGGCGTTGCCAGCGTTCAAGCTCTTCTTCATCTGATGAGAAGTCTACTAGGGGAGGAGGTCCATCCGACATCGTTCTCGCGGCGCCACACACTCTCTACACACAGCTGTGCACAGCAGCACTGCTGTTTTTTTGAAGGGGCCGGGTGGTTGTTGGCGCCACTCTCTCCGCTGGAATCTTCGTCGACGATCTCCGAAACTCTGGGGGTACGCAGGCCGCTGCCGAAAACAGGAAATATACGTACGTACAGGTTGAAATCTCGCATTTTGCGGAGAATCCGCGCACACGGCGTGTGCGGGGGTGCCTGGTGCGCAGTGTGTGGCGCATATGACATACATGTACCGGCACCCTGGACTTACTCCCTGGTATCATTATAAAAGTGAAGGAGTGTCCATTGTACCGTTTGGTACATTGGCACTGCAGCATCCACCCCCCCCCCATCATGAGAAACACTTCTTGCACATTTCTTTTGATAAAAATGCAAGGCTCTATTGAAGTAGAAGCAGTGTCTCACCCCAAGTACCGGAGTTTTCTACGAAGTGTTGAACAAGTCGCCGCTCACACAATACGATCACTCACATATATATGCAGCAGATTGGCCGTTCGAAGTCCAAAACTCAAGATCTTGATACACACTAGACTACACATGCACGCACCACGTGAACAAAACTTTTGTACGGATACGACCTTGATATGACGAGAGCAATGAAATAAAAACTCCACAAAACTCCACGGCCATCGGGAAACATGAAATCAGTCCCGTCAATCTTCGCGAAGACAATGCGGTGGGACAATCACGATTCGTCCGGTTTTCGGTGGGCTTACGAATGACTCAACCTCTCTCTCACCCCGGAAAACATGTATATTTGTCCGAGATTGTTCTTGTTCCTGAGACGCCACCTTCCCGAGTACATGCTTGATTAGTCTAGCCATCATCCATGCGAATCGGTCTTCCTTACCACTATTCAGCTGCTCGACATTGACCGCGACCCCCCGACGAAGTATGCGCTTTTGTTTTCTTCGTCGAATCCCGGGAGCAGCCCAAGGTACAGTAGACCGCTCAGAACTGTTTATCGATCCCCTCTCAACCATGAAATATACTCTACCTCCAACAATATGTACAGTGTGGATATGCACTTATGATCATATATGGGACACGAAACAAACCAATACAACGGCAACCAACATGCCCCTTGATAGATGGACCCGAAGTCACGGGACCCCGGTAGAGTTTCAAAATTGCGCCAAGCCGATAGCATACAGCAGTACCTTACAAAACATGAACACCTGATGCACCTGCCAACTGCGCTGCTATTACTCCTACAACACTACTAGCCAGTGATGGCCTACCTTCAGAGCTGTAGCTGCTCACACGTTCAAGCCGCCGAAATGTGCGTGGAACACAGCAGTTGCGTATAACTACCGCTAGTGAGATGCAGCAATGATATACTCGGGCTCTTTGGCTTTGGTCATGTACGTGTGAAGCTTGGAGCCGGGGTAGTCGCCGTTCTTGAGGTGCTTCAGGTAGTGCGCACTAATCATGTGCCCCCAACGGCTGGTGGTGGGGTAGACGACCGGCCCGGCGATTCTGATGTTCCAACTCTGTTTCACACTCTCAGGAGCGTTGGCTCCTAGCATACCAACCTGAGAGGTACGATCAAAAAGAGGGGAAAAAGCGTGCCGCGGGTGGTGCGTTATACACACCGCAAGATCTTTCCAATGATCGATTGGATCCAAGCCGTAGCATTCATGCCGAAAATATTTAGAGACCTGAAACAAAGCGCACCCAATAACGTGTTGAATGAGTCAAGCACTTCCTACGTTCGTCACTCCGCTGAAAACACTTACGGTGTCGCGCTGGTTGCAGATGGATTCGATGTACGGGACTCTGTCCTCTGTCTGGTCCATCCAGTGGGCCGCGTTGGCCAGGTTGTAAATCTCCAGTTTCTTCATCTCGTCCTGCATCGTTGGCGGTGGGGCAAATTCGTTCTTGTTTGTGATGCACGGCCTTCGCTTCTGAGGAGAAGACCACATACCAAAGCGCGCGCACTTGACGCAGAGAGCAGAAATACCATCCGCAAGGGCGAAGAAGCACAAGGTAAAAGTGCCCCCCGCCCCATCTGCCAACGACATTGTTCACAGGTACTGCTGAACAGAGATATCGCCTCGGGTGCTTACGTGTGTCAGCTCGCCCCTGTCCACAGCCGTCCAAAGTCGACGAAGCGCATCGCTTGCGATGATGGTTCCTTGGGAATGTGCAATGAGAACCACCTGCAATGGCGACCAAACCGTGTTGCGGGGGTGAGATGAAGACCACAACAAGCTCTCGGGCATGGTAGTGCGAGCCTGGCTCATCTCTACAGCTGAGGATATCACGACCTATCCACAGCTCCGCATGCAATGCATACTAAGGTCAAATCTAGCCAAGGTTTGGTTTAGAGACCAGATAACCTGACAGAGAGAGAGGGAGAGAGCTAGCGCGCACGGAATACAGCCTGTTTGTTCGCTCGGGCGTAACTTGCCTTGGTTTTCGTTGGGTCTCGAAGAGCTTCCAGCAGCTTGTCCATTAGGAGGGCGCACGGGCGACTCGTTGAGAAGCTCTGACCGGTCCAAAGTTTTGCAAATACGCACTCGAAGATGTCGATAACAAAAGAGTCTGTCGGGTTGTGTACCACGGTCACGTTCTTGTTGAACATTTTGCTCAACTCAGCGCCCGTGGCCAGGGCCATCCTGCGGGTTGTGCAGATTCCGTTCACGTAGAAGAAACTCTCTGGGCTACCATCGTCGACCAGCTGGCCGGGTGTCACCTGGCACAGGGGGGGAGTTGACGTATGTGTTATGGGAGCCACCGATGACATCAAAGGGAAGTTGAGTGTTGCCTCAACGTGAGTTGGAGAAAAAAAAAAGGCACAATCGTTTCCAAAGGCACGCCGTTGTTGCCACAGACGATGACAGTTGTTGCCGCTTGTGCCCGTCTTGCCCCGTGGACACTCAATCAACGGAATTCTACGCACCACACCCCCCGCTCCATCGAACTCAGCACGTCTCACCGTGGCCTCATCGGAGAAAACCACCCATGCAACCAACGGCAAGAGAGTGCGCAGCCAGCGGGGAGAGTCTCCGGGAATCGTGGGCCGCACGAACGCGAGGAGCGTCCCAAATAAAGAGATGAAGCTCGTGATGGAGGACTTCGATTCCTTAAGGAGGTCGTCCAAGCCGAGGTCCAACGTAAGCACGTCCAACCAGGTACCGGGCATACCAGTGATTCCCAGTATCAAAAACATCTGCAAAGCGTGCAAGACCAAGCCCGGCATGGTGAGCTTGCCTCAGCAGCTACATAGTTCTGTTGATATGTTGCAGGGTGCAACGGCGACATCCGAAGTTGAAACTGGATACGAACTAAAGAATAGAGCACGCAGATGTTGACTGTCCAAATCAAAAACACGCCATCAGGTGGGATGCAAGGTGTGCATGCTGCTTCAATAATCTACGCAATCAATGACAGGCCTCCAATGACGCTGATGCATAACGTGACCTGCGCCTAGGTTAGTCTCCTGCTGTGTGTGTGAACTTGGACAGGAACTCATCAGTAAGAGAGGCAAGGCCGTTGGGCATATGTAGAACCTCAAGGCGGGGCTAGACTATAGACGCTGTCAAACGGGCAGCAACTGCCTCGTCGCACCTGGTTCCATCCGATTAGCAGCAGGGGAACCACGCTACAGCCTGAAATCGAAGGAGTTCCACAGCAACAGCAGCATAATAAGGCGCGCAATATGAGAGCGTTGAAGAGTTGCTGGGATAAGATGAACAGACTTGTGTTTATATTTACATATGGGGATGACGCTTGAACCCCTTTTGCCGAAATATTTGTGAGGAAACGGACGCTGAAACGGCCAGAGTCTCGCCCCCAGCTGATGTCGCTCTTGTTGTACATGGTTCATCCGACTGAGCGGAAGAAGCGCGACGCTGCAAACAGCAGAAGCGTGCTACCCAAGACGCGACAGCGGCCAGATGTTTCGATTCTCGCATCCAGAGCATATACTCCCCACCGTTCGCAAGAAATCGAAAAAGTCAACACAACAACCATCATCAGCGCTGCAATGTTGTTGTTGTTGTTGTTGACTTCACATTAAACCGTATGCCAGTTGCTAAATGCCAAAATCTAGCAAAGACTCTCGGCCCGTGGTCACAATGTACGAACGGAATAGATTGCAATCAATTACGGCGGTGTGGGAGGGTTCGAGGAGGGACTCACAGACGGCGTTTAGGAACGTCGGGGGTTTGTGTTGAGACGGAGGTTCGAACAGCTGCCGCATCTTCTCCTGCCCCTCCTCTTGTCACAACTCCTTCTCGGCGGTAGCGTGTAAGTGGGCGGTCGTGTCACACGGCGTGGGGCGGGTGAAGTCACGCGATGATCACAAGAAGTGCATATGCAGGTATGCAGAGCTGCAGCCGCTGCAGAGCTGGAAACGCGGCGGGATTTATTGATTTCATGGGCCGAAAATTGGAAAATTCCGATATGTTTCTCCTGGGTCGCACCGCCTTGAAAGAGCAATCAATGGACATATGACAGGACGTACATCGTGTCTACGACAGCAGTCAAACAATGCAATGATGCTGCAGTAGTGTGCTGTCGTACATGCATCTCGGGAAGATCTACGTTCGACATGTGCTTCTCGACAGGGGATATGCGTTCACCACGGACTGCAAGGCGAGTCCTTGTCTTGGGCTCAAGGGATCGGGACGACGGTTCGTCAGTGGGGGTGACGGATAGGGTACGAGAGAGAAGCAAGCCGCCCCGCCGCCACCAAAGCAGCAGCAGCAGCAGCAGCAGCAGCAGCAGCAGCAGCAGCAGCGGCGGCGGCGGCAGGAGCGGCAGCAAAAGAAGCGGCAGCAGCACCACTGGCGGCACCACCAGGAGGAGCAGCAGCAGCAGCAGCACAGCGCGACATCAGCAGCACAACTTTGACAGCAACAGCAGTGAGCCGACAAAGGTGTAATCTACTATGTTAGCGGTCCCGATATAGACATATATACTTTCATACTTGCGGGTCGCGCGCTCAGCGCTCGAGAGCTCTTTTTTCGCGATTTCTCTGCTCCTAGACCTCGTTGCAGTGCGAAACTCGCGTGTGGCGATAGCCGTGAGATGCGAGGGCCTTGCCTGTGTGCGGCTCAAGGTCGGCATATATACTTTCATACTTGCGGGTCGCGCGCTCAGCGCTCGAGAGCTCTTTTTTCGCGATTTCTCTGCTCCTAGACCTCGTTGCAGTGCGAAACTCGCGTGTGGCGATAGCCGTGAGATGCGAGGGCCTTGCCTGTGTGCGGCTCAAGGTCGGTGCGGCCTTAGCTCGCGGTAGCGAGGGCGCAAACTCGCGCTGCGACCGGTTCTGTGACGTCATGACGCTTCGCAGCGTTCGGAGGCTCGGAGGCGTGCGTTCACCTTTTTTTTTTTATTACGAGACGCAAAGGGTTTATGATGAGGAGAATACACATTGACACGGACCACACCCCGAACAAAAGTTGTGTGTAGTGCTCTCGGGGTACGCAGCAGTTTCGCGAATGCTGTCGGGGTGTTGGGATTTTCCAGGTGCACCCACCCTCTAATTCGCCGACAAGAGAGGAAATTACAAAAATCTTGCTGGCTCTCTCTGTTTTCCGGGAAACTGCTGTCCGAAAGCTGGTGATACAGCAGTAGACTAGTGGTGTACCGTGTCTTTCGAACATATGTGGCGTAGACCAGTCTGTCTGCTCTATCGGGGTACGGCAGTGGTGTGCTGTCGGGGTTATCAGGTGCGCAGTGACCGCAAATGCAAATTGAAAAACTCCAATATTAGTTTGGTAGTCAACCTGTCTGGTGGCCACCACCGAGGTTGCATTTTGTCTGTACGTGCTGGCTCTTTTCGGTCTACTCCACAGCAGACGTGGCACATCAACATTGCACCCTTCAACCACCACCTCCCGTCCAGTATACTACATAGCAGAACATCGGCAGGGTACAGGCGTAGTTTCCAGACCGCTGTCGGCGTTGCCGGGAATGCGCACATCCTTTTCTCTTTTTTGTAGGTAAGCTTTGCTGGCTCTTCTTTCGCTGGCTTTCTTTTCCGGGAAAACTTTTGCATACAACATACGTAATCGTTTTACTACACAACACACACACACACGCGCTGACTACATCCGCCAGCTACACAGCTACGGCCTTCCCCGCTAACTTGGCGGTGGAGAAACGGCGAATTGCGGGTTGTTTTTGTCAGAAACCCCCCGCCAGCTCGTTTTGTTCGTGCCCCCGCTCTCCAGCCACATCCAACAACCTCCTCCGCCATCTCGGAAACAACAAGGGCATGTCTCGTTTCTTCAAAGACAACTCCCCTGCCAAGAAAGCCAAGCCCGAACAGACCTCTGACGGTGCTGGTTCTGACCATTTCAAGACTGTTGGAGAGGTCTACCCCGGGTTCGTCTGCCCCCTGGACCGGAAGGTTCTCCTGAAGAAGTACACGAAGACCGGCCGCCCCTGGATCGTGTGCTCTGGCAACGTCCAGAACGACCCGGACTCCTGTCAATTTTCAGCCAACCTCTTCAGTCGGGACCGCGTCAAGGAAGGAGAGAAGTCGAAGATCGCGTGCAAGATCTGCGACGTGCCAGTGGAGTTCACCCCGTCCATCGGCGAGCCGACCGGCGAGAAGAACCCCCTGACGGGAAAGCCGGGTGAGTGTTTTTTGTTTGTATCTTCTCTCTACTTTTTTTTTTTGTACCCTCGAGTGTGCTGCCCTTTATAACCTCGAGTCGGGCCCTCCCTGTGTATTTCGCTGTTCTTCCATGGACGCACTGCGCGCTCATTCGTTGCATCCTTCGAGAATCTGTTGCGTTTCTTTTCTGCATCCAGTCTACATACTGTATCCATCGATATAGCGTAGTTGCCGGAGTGCTGCCGGTGTTTTCGTATGTATCCTGCCTCTTCACACCAGTCAGTCTCGTATTGCATGACGTTCCCAATTTTTTTTTGCACCATCACTTTCTTCCCCGTCTGCCATGCGCATCAGTCTTCGAGAACACGCACGTGTTCTTTCCCCACTGCTGGGGCAAGCAGACCGAAGACCCTGTCTCCGGAAAGTCCCTGCTGGTCCACTGCACCGCCGCCACCGGCGCCGTCGTCGGGGTGGGTTTTTCTAATTTGCAACGCCTGCCTGCCAGTTTAATTGAATATATCTCTAGGGTGAGTTCTTGTGAGATTTCCTCGTTTACAATTGTCGCCTGTGCCTTCCATGCTGTCGTTTCAACCATCTTAATGCACTGATGCTACAACCTCCTGCTATACTCGCCTACATCATAATCGGGGTGAGCCTTTTTGTGTTGCACAATTCGGTCAGTTTATTTAGATTCCATGCTTTGTTGCTGCTTCAACCTGCCTGTTGTTGTACGTCCCAACCAGACCACCTGCAAGGCCTACGACCCGACCACTCCCTTCGACGACCTCAAGCTCGGCTGCACGGGTGACATTAACGCGGGGGACATCATCATCAGGTCCTGGGCCCTCAAGGACCCCCCGCAGGGTCTCCACGCCCGCTGCGCCAAACGGAAGCACACCGCCCTGGTGCGTCAATTGTGCTGTTTTTCCTTTTTTCCCCGTTGTTTTCCGAGAGAGTGTCGCGCCATTACAGTGTAGGTATTTTTCTTAGACCCTCTTTCCCCTGCTATCTGGTTTCCTTTACATTATGCACTATTTACCCCATTTTACCACTGCTTTCATTTCTCGCTCACGTATTCTTGACGGCACTTTCCTTTTTGCTCTCTGTCCTTCCCCTCTCGCGCACCGACATGACACAACGACCTAGAAGACGAACGCAACTATGTGTGTGCTCATTGTGAATCTATGCTGTGGAAAGAGGAAAGAGCTAGACGATTCAGTTGCTGCAGTAACGGTGAATATGCGATACACAAGTTGAAAAATGTTCCTACCAACGTGTGGGATATTTACAACACTTAACACTTCAGCCGCAACCAACGAAAATACAACAGTCTTTTCTCTTACACTGCTCTCGCCGGTAATAGACTACGTAAACAAACATGGTGCAACCCCAGCGGCAGTTCAATGTTGACTATGCATGGGAGAGCGTACCATCGTATATTTGATTTGCAGCAACACTACGCAGGCATGAATGTCGCAAATTCCTCTCGCTATTACATTTATGACTCAGACTTTAACTTGCAGTCTCGAGCCCTTCATGTAAACCAAGACACGGCAGCGTCGTTGCGATCCTACTTCCATAGCAGTCTCCCGTGGGTTGTACAATACAAGAGTGCTGTAGACGAGGTACTACGAAGTAACACGATTCCCTCAGAGCCTGCTGTGATAGAGTTCGCGGAAGCAAGCAGAGTTGACGATGGCCACGTGCTTGGCGCACCTCAAGCTCCTGAAATCGCGGCAATATTGTATCCCTCCAAAGTCAATGCTCATCTACTCAAAGTATATATGTCTATATACTTCCTCTGTATCATAAGTTAGGGTACCTAAATGCAATAGATTGTCTGGGTGCAACCGTGTTGGTGATGGTAGCATAGTCGGGTTTGTAAGAAAGATATAACAAAGAAGGAGCGATGGAACAAAAATAAAAAAAAACGAACATTATTTCTGTACCTAATGTTGGTCAAAATGTACCCTATTTTGGCCTGTTTTGGGAATATTTTTGAGAAAATATTGTGGGATATTTTTTGAGAATTCTCGACAAAATTCTCAAATCCATTTTACTACCCTACCCTAGCGATGGAATCGCCCCCCAGCACACCACCTCGCAAAAGGGGCACCGAATTATCGGTTGGTAGGCGCTATGCCATGGCGGTAGAAATTGCGATGGGCATTCAGCCGGGGTTGTCAAGGATTCCCAAGGGCGTGCTTGACCCGATCTGCGAACGCTACGGTGTTGGAAAGAAGTACCCGTCCAAGTTGTGGAAACGGGTCAAAACCCAGATCGACAACACCCAGGAGCTGGACCTTTCAAACGAAGCAAAGTGGGCGGCCGTCGCTTCTCACCCCTTCAAAGATTGCGGCGGCATCGAGTCCAAGTGATGATGAGGAAGAATAGTCGACTTTTTCTTTTTTTTCCCCGCCACCAACCAACCCTTCTTTTTGTCCCGCAAGTGTCTTGCTTTTAGTGTGACCTCCCAAGTGTCTTGCTTTTAGTGTGTGACCCCCAAGTGTCTTGGTTTTAGTGTGGTTCACTACTATACTGATTTTAGTATAGGGGGCGCGACATGGATCGTTGAGTAGAGGGGGGGGTTGGATGAGGGCCCTACTGTTGCTTGCTTTGCCCCGTAAGTGTCTTGGTTTTAGTGTGGTCCCCCCAAGTGTCTTGTTTTCAGTGTGGGGGCCACTATTATGCTGTTTTTAGTATGGGGGACGCGTCATGGATCGTTGAGTAGAGGGGGGGCTAGGTTTAGGGTCAGGGATAATTCTTGGTATTTTTGCCTTGTTTTTGTCATTGCCCCGCCCCCCCCGCCTGGTCGGAGGGGGCAGAATACATGCAAAATGCGGCCTTTTTCAGGCCGACTGGTTTTTCTCGGGCGCTCATGCACGCGGGGTGGCGCATGCATATAAAATAAAATAAATGTTTCTTGCTAAAAAAACTCCGAAGATTTCAACAAAAAAATCGAAAAACAGATCGGACACGGTTAAGGGCCCGTACAAATTTAGGTACCCTAACTTATGATACAGAGGAAGTATACATATATATGTGGCATGTAGAGTGGCAAGTGATACATACCACTACGCTCACAACAGAAAACATGCCACTTTTCAGGGCAATATGTATATCGGAGAATGAGCTTTGGTGCTTACGCTACGGACAGTTGTTCCTTGGATGTTCACTCTCATGCGTTGTGTATATGCATATATGATATATGCCGGTCGCCCCGGTGGGAATCATCGAAACCTTCTACAGAGGTCAGGTCAAGGGTTCGAATGTTCGAATCCTGGCGTAAGCGAGCTTTTCTTGCCAAGTGAGTTTTTCTCTCGCTCCCGCTCCTGGCCTAGAGGATAGCGCTAGTTCGTGTGTACCCAGAGGGAAGAGAGCGGTGCATTCTTCTCGCATTAAAAATCGGAGGCAACGTACCGCAGGAGGGAAGGGTAGTGAGGGGCTCTTCTGTGTGACCACGGGTTGGAGTGAACGGCACTAGTGCTGTGAGCGCTGACTTGAAGTGAAGACCAAAAAAAAAAGTTTCTACAACAGGGTCCCTCTTTTGTTGTGTGCACCAGTGCCCGCGTGAAAACGCAGGTGTCAGCCCATCACCTGTGCAGTGACACTTGATCGTCCTTGTCACAACGAGGCCTTCGGCGATCGCGCCCCATCTTTGTGTGCAGGCGAACTGCAGAAACAAAGTAATATTGATTCTTTTTTGTCTTGACTGGCTTTCTACAATACTGAAAATCAACAACAGCTGTAGTGAGGGGACAATTCGAGAATGCAGTACACATAGACCCGACCCCCAACTAGTACCCGAACCCCCCATGAAAAGTAGAGGCCATGCGCCCCCCCCCCTCTCTACCTCCCCCAGAGNGTGAGGGGACAATTCGAGAATGCAGTACACATAGACCCGACCCCCAACTAGTACCCGAACCCCCCATGAAAAGTAGAGGCCATGCGCCCCCCCCCCTCTCTACCTCCCCCAGAGGATGAGGAGGGTACAGTCCAAAGTAAGCACAAGCTTACCTAAGGTTAATGCCTATTGGTACGGCATTAAAA